TCGGCCTCCCAAAGTGCTTGAATTATAGGCATGAGCCACCGCACCCAGCCTGCATCAGTTTTCAATTGCCTACCTCTAGACCCCTTTGTGTGACAAACAGAAACTCCTTAGTTTTTAGGGTTTTTTTTTCTTTTTTTTGAGATGGAGTTTCACTCTTGTCACCTAGGCTGGAGTGCAATGGCATCTCAGCTCACTGCAACCTCTGTCTCCTGGGTTCAAGCAATTCTCCAGCCTCAGCCTCCCGAGAAGCTGGGATTACAGGCACCCACCACCACACACAGCTAATTTTTGTATTTTTAGTAGAGATGGGGTTTCGCCATGTCGGCCAGGCTGGTCTCAAACTCCTGACGTCAGGTGATCTGCCCACCTCGGCCTCCCCAAGTGTTAGGATTATAGGCGTGAGCCACCGCACCTGGCCAGAAACAATTTAGTTTTGTTTTTTTGTGTTTTTTTTGAGACAGAGTTTCGCTCCTGTTGCCCAGGCTGGAGTGCAATGGCGCAATCTCGGCTCACCACAACCTCCGCCTCCCAGGTTCAAGGGATTCTCCTGCCTCAGCCTCCTAAGTAGCTGGGATTACAGGCATGCGCCACCACGCCCAGCTAATTATGTATTTTTAATAGAGACTGGGTTTCTCCATGTTGGTCAGGCTGGTCTCAAACTCCCAACCTCGGGTGATCCACCTGCCTCGGCCTCCCAAAGTGCTGGGACTACAGATGTAAGCCACCATGCCTGGCCAGCTCCTTAGTTTTTTAATCACCTCCACCACTACACATATATTCTAAAATAAAGAGAACCTTGTACCTTTAGACTGAAAGTACATTCTGTCTTAAAGTCTCATAGTGAGGTCTTCACCTTTAAGACATATTTTGTTGAAGTTACTGAATTTCAAGAATGATAATCAGAACCCCAGCACTTTGGGAGGCTGAGGTGGGTGGATCACAAAGTTAGGAGTTGGAGACCGGCCTGGCCAATATGGTGAAACCCCATCTCTACTAAAAATACAAAAATTAGCCAGGTGTGGTGGTGCATGCCTGTAGTCCCAGCTACTCGGGAGGCTGAGGCAGGAGAATGAACCGGGGAGGCAGAGGTTGAAATGAGCCAAGATCATGCCACTGCACTCCAGCCTAGGTGACAGAGCAAGACTTCATCTCCCCACCAACGAAAAAAACAAAGAAGATAATCAGGACAGGATATGGGGCGGGGCGGAGGAATAAAGTTTACATGCTTCTTCACTGACCTATAAAACTCAGAAAGGGGGGAAAAAAAAGTCTGACCCTGGAATTTCACATCCTGGTAAGCTGTCTCTTCAGGAACAGACATTCTCAAGCAAGCAAGAACTCAAGGAACACAGGCACCCATGAGCCACCTTTGGGAAAAGCAAAACAATAAAGGCGACAACAAAATGAATTAAAGAAAGAACTCAAATGAAAAAAACATTACCTCAGAAATGAAAATTGAAGGACTGGTAAAATGTTAAGGAATAACTCCTTTTGTAGTAAAGAAAGATTTAATTGAAGTTAAAAGTGCAATTCTTCCAGTTTTACTTTGATTTCTTTTCAGCTAATTTCAAGAAAATTAAACTCTGGTAAATAAAAAC